AATGGTCAGGCATTCACAAACCAAGGAGTTCCTCCCTGTCCTGTGGTCCTTCCCAGTGAGATGGCAGCGGGACATGGGCAGGATGGTTATGGGTCCAAGTGAGGGATCCCAGGCTGCACGTGCTGGAGCAAGGGCTGAGCAGGGTTTGACAACCATGTTCTGTAGATACTGATGGAAAACTCCTGAGAGGCAGGGATGCTGTGGACAAACAGGATCAGAGTGACAAGTAAAGGAAATGGTCTTTGCAGCAGAGCTGCTGTGGGTAGATGAAGCTGAGCCAGAGTGCTGTGGGCCAGGAGCGAAACTGCCGCATTAATCACGGTGTGAGAGGTGAGGCTGCTGTTCAAAACTGCTGACTGGGGCCCCAGGAATCTGTTTCACATTTATGCTGCTGCCTCTACAGGCATGAATAAATGCAAGTGCAGGATGGATGCAGCACTGGCAGTCGTGGGAGGGCACTGCATCCTCCTCCAGGGAACTCTGCAGGAGAGGGAAGGTGGCTGGGTTTCTAAGCCCGGTGTTGCTTCCCAAAGTCCAAGTGGACCTTGGGACCAATAGCTAACATCTCTTTGATATCCCTTTCTTCAAGGAGGCATCTTCTTGGGGGACAGAGGGATGTTGAGAACTTAAGGAAGGTCTTTAGGGAGGCAGGTGAGGTCTCCAGGTAATGCCTTTGCTCATCCTTTTGCCACAAAGTGTTCGGCTTGGTTTTCTTATGGTTGGTTATTAATTATCTTTCATTTCTCAGTTATGGGACAGTATTGCCAGAAAAATTGTTCAGTAGCTGAGTCAGGGGTATTGATCCTTAGCTCAGGAGTTTGTTCTTTCATCTGGCAGGTATTTCTCCACTTCTGCAGGCAGTGTGTGATCAGAACCTGAGACCTGAGGCTGGTACCTGCCTCTGCTCCTGGCTGCTGTGTGACCCTCCATGATGGGCTTTCATTTTAACTTTATAACAGTGTAAAATGAACCTCCTGCATGAGGCTGGAAAAAGCTCATTATAGTTGCTCTCTGCATCTCAGGCTTTTTTTTCTCTGTTGGAAATGGGCTATGACAGTCATGGTGCGGGGTGGGTCCTGCTCCTCACTGCAGCCCTGAAAAGCCTGTGCTCAGCAACCTGGGCACAGAAAACGTGAGCTGCTCAAAAATCAGTCATTGAGGTGACAGCTGGGAGAGCTGTGACAGCCCTTTTGTAGCCTGAACCCACACTGTGAGTGGTTCTCCTGCCCTGGAGCTGGGATTTCTGCTGTCATACTCGGTATCCATCCCCTCAGGGCCAGCCTGGGAAGCCTGGCTGGGGTTTGGCCTCCGGCACTCCAGGAGCACAGTTTAACCACCCCTCACACACTGATTCTTACTCCTTAATTACAAGCTGTCAGTTGTCATCAGTCCTCTGCTCCCTCCTTTAGTACCAGGGAGGCTACCCTAATGCTCCCAGAGTGAACACCAAGTTCATGGGCTAAATGGAGAGATTCTCTTGGTCTGTTCAGCTTCTGCAGATCCTGATAGTTCTCCTCTGCTTTTAAAGCAAGGGCCCTTTTTTGGGCAGTTTGCTGTTTTGAGGTAAATGTTAAAATTGGCAGTGAGTGCAGCAGGCTGTGCTGAGCCTTCCGACAGCCTGGAGCGGCGGCTCCGAGGTGGACCTGACTCATCGCAGCAGGATATTGACTCTGCAGCGTAATTATGATGCTTTGAGAACCTGATTTTCAAATAATTGAGGTATAAAATGATGTGCCTGGTTCTCACAGTTACTACAGCTCTGGGTATAAATTGAATAACGGGCTGTACAAATGTGCCACTTGGCTATAGCAGGAACAGCAGCCGGTCTGGAAATGTCCTGCGTCACTGCTGCTTTTCCTCTTTGCTGGGAAGCTGCCTGAGGTTTGCAAACAGCCTCGGGATGCCACTGGTCCCAGTTGTTTGGCAAACCCATGGAAAGTCCTGCATCTGGGCAGCCAAAATGCAGGGGTGAAACACTGGCTGCTTGCTCATCCCAGCGCGTGGAGCATCTCCAACACCTCTGGCTGCTCGTGGCAATGTCCTGGCTGTGGGGAAGTGCCAGGGACACAGCTGGGGCTTTGACACCCGTCTTCCCAGGCTGTGGTGGCTCCCTGGCTTTCTCTTTTCTCTGTCCTGTCTGCAGTCTGTGTTTCGTTTGGTCTTGGTCAACTCTGATTGTCGATGAAGTCCCAAGACTTTGGAAGGAGGTTTTTGTCCTCAGGGTGATTTTGTCACTTCTGTCCCACTTGGAGTTGTGTTCCCCCAGGCTGAACCTGGTGAAAACCTGTGTTTGTCTTTGTGGTTTGCCAGCAGGACTCCACTGCTCTTGGAAGGGTTAGGACAGATTATTTTCAGCTCAAAGGCAGCCCAAACTGTGAACTTACTCTGATTTTTTTTTTTTTACCAGTCTAACCAAAAACCAGACAAGTCAGGTTTGTTCTCTGTGCTTCCTTTAGGGTCAGGCTGCTGCTCCCAGCCTTTCCCTGCTGGCCCTCTTGGTTTGAGGCTGGGATTTTGTCCTTGCTCAGTGTTTCCAGGGTTGTTTTCCACCCAGCTTCAGGGGATTGGTTGCAGCCCCTGGAGTGGGCAGCTGCTGGAGGAGGTTTTTGGGAGCATGACCTTTCTAATGGGCACATCAGCAGGACCTGCTGCTGCTCAGAGCCCTGGGGGCTGAGCCCAGATTCTACTTTTAATCATCAATCAGAGGGAATAAACCTGCAGGGGAAGATCTCAGCAAATCCTCAGCTCCTGGAAAAGCTGAGCAGGAGCCACTGCTGTGACCAGACACGCTGGGCACTGTGAGGCTGCTGCTGTGCCTGCTTGGGGCCAAAACGTTGGGAATTTAGTCTGTAATAAAATAAACCTTCCTGTGTCTCAGCCATCTGAATTATTACCTGACTGGCACTTCATTATAAACACATTTTTTCCATCTTGGTACTGGTTTCCTGCCATTTTATTGCTTTTTAGGTTCTATTTTTTTGTTTTATTCATCTCTTCCAATCGATAGAAATATCCTGTTTTTAGCAAGCAGCAGAGGCAGACGTGACTGATGTCCTGATGGTGGAGCAGAATCACTCTCAGAGCATTTGGGGAACAGGGGGAGAAGCTTTTAAATCTAATTTTCAAAGATCTCTAAAGCATAACAAACTGCTCCAGACATGTAGCTGAGTCTCCCAGTGCCATTAGCTCAAAAAAGTTGGGATTTTTCTGTTGTCCCATTGCAGAGCTGGCGCTTTAGATCCCTCCTCTGGTGGTAACTGTTGTTCTTTGCCATGACACTAATTAAAACCCACTTAATGAGATTATCTCCACCTGTTCTAGAGGATTAGTTCGATGGAGGAAATCCTGCACGTGCCTGTGGATGCACATAGGCACAGCAACGTTGGGAAGCACAGTCTCCCCAGAATTATTCTCTTCAGGGTTTGCCACAGCAAAGAGTATTTTGTGCCCCCCCTCCACATGCACAGATTGCTCAGACAGCACTGAAATGCAACAGAGAATTGAATTTGAGAGTAAATTGTTTCGATGACGCAGCACCAGAAGAGTCAGGGCGGGGTGGATTTGTTTTAGTGCCAAATGAGAACTGTGGCAATCAAAGGGGAGCGAGCTGGGAGCACCGTGGCAAGGCCTGGGTCAGGGAGCCTTGCCTGGGATGCTGTGGGCAGTGTCCCCACGTGTCCCCACCAGGGACACCCAGGAAACCTGGGTTACAAACACTGGGGTTTGTCCCCACTTGCCCTGTGACCGTGGGCATGCATCTCAACCTCTCCAAACCTCGTAAATGGCTGGTGAAGTGTTGTGCAAACACAGACTGGCACTAAGGGCTGTTGATGGTGCCGTGGTTTCCTGGTTCCCATGTCACGGTTTAATCCACTGGATCAATTGGTTGAGTTTATTCTGTTGGGTTTTTTCACCAGCTGTAGAGTTTGGGGCTGGTTTTGCTCCAGGAGCTCTGTCTGAAGACTTCCACTAAGCAGGCACAGCAGAAAGGTGGATTTTGGTGATGAGAAGGAACCAAGCAAATGCTTTGTGTGCTGTGAGTCACCAGATCCTGCTGGGGTTGACTGGGCCTGATAACAGACACTTTGCTTCTGGTGTCCACTTTTCCTCACCAGTCATCCTTTACCTCCCCCACCTCTTCCTTCCATGATGTTATTGTCTTTATCCACAGCCCATAGAGAGTCCTGAGAATATTTGAGAAGATCCTGCTTTGCTCCGTGGTGTAGTAAATGCTGTATTCCCTGAATTGTTCAGCAATAATTCTGTTCAATTGCCTTGAGGTGGGGTGTGATGGGATTATTCTGTGTTGCAGTTTGACTGTATTCTCCTGCAGTGGGGAGTGTAAAAACCAGCCTGGCGTTGACACCAGTGGCAGGAGGATCTTGCCTGGGTTTGGAGATGCAGGAGAAGAATTACTGTCTTCCAAGACAGTAATTCAGAGTAAAGCAGGGAAGAAAAGTACATTTCTGGTGTCTCTATTGTTAGAACCCAAATGACTTCCTTCGTCGTGGTGCTACTGAGGCCTGAGCAAGTCTAATTATTGCCTTTTCTTGCTGCTAAAAGAATCCAGAGGATAAAACCTGATGCCTTTGAGTGGATGCATCTCAGGTGTGTTGCTGACACTGGAGAGAGACTTTATTGTCTGGCAGCAGAAGGTCTGGCTATTCATTTGGAGCCTTTGTCACCTCTCTTCCAGGGAGGTGCTGCTGCATATGAAAGTCTGATTGATGCAGTGGCAAAGGTCAGGAGGGTAATAGCTTTGATGGTATCCCCTGAAGCAAATCAAAATTCTTCTCAAAGATTCTGTTCAATTTGATACCAAGGGTCTGGTAGCACTCCAGGGATTCTTCTCTCTGCTGATAGGCTCACAGCTATTACTAAAATTAATGTTTGTCTCTAGTGTGTTTTTTGTGGTTTTTCCTAAGAGGATATTCTGCACTAAAAATGGAAAATAACCACTTCTCTCTTCTTTTATCCCCTTCTCTCTCTCTCTGTTTCAGGGATCCTCGATGCATTTCCCTGCCATTATTTAGGGAGCCTTCACTAAAATCTTCTGGATTGTGTTTCTGAGGGGACGGAAGGTTTCGGTGTCCAAAATGCTCATAAAGGAATATCGGATCCCTCTCCCGATGAGCGTGGAGGAATATCGGATCGCCCAGCTCTACATGATCCAGGTCAGTGGCATTTTGGGGAGCAGAGGCTGACGTGGGGCCCCACGTGTGGAACGGGGAAGCCTCGCTGCAGAATTCCTCGTTTGAAATTTGAGGTTTGCCGTGTGCTCATGAAGGAGAAGTGGGGAAAGCCCTAAACTTCAGTTCATGAGTTGCTTCCTCTGAAATCAGAGAACCTTTGTTTGACCCTGTGGAAGCAGCCACAGCTTCCCAGGCGGGCTCTGGTTACTGGTCGTGCCAATTCCAGCTGCAAACCGAAGGATTGTGTTCTTTTCTTGGGAGGGAACAGTCTGATATAGATTTGAGAGAGTAAAACCAAAGGCATGGGTTTGAATGTAGAGTGGGAAAAATCTAGATGTGGTATTTCTGTGCTTACATACCCCCGTGAAACAGATACTAATCAGTTTAGGCACAAAATGTAGATTATTTTTAACAGGCTTCTGAATACTGAGGGGAATTTTTGTTGAATTCCCTCTCCTCAATAAAGCAGTTAATTAAAATGTTGGGGGGGTTGTAACTGAAATCCTCTGTGCCCATATTCTCCCAGTGTTTGAAATCCAACCAGGAGCAGTTTTAAAAGGAAATGAATCTGAAATGTTATTTCATTGTCCCACGCTTTAAATAAAATTTAATTTTGCTCATCCAGCAGAGAACACATCTAAATATTGAGTTTGCAGGAGAACTCTGCTTTTTGAAGCGATGCTAAAAAAAACCAAACTGCTTTGGCTTAAAACCTGAAATGAGTTAAGGAAAAAAGCAAACCCCAAAGCAAAAGCACAAGTCCCCTATTTCTCTCTCAGCCGTCCAACTGTGTTCCCTAAGGATTCATGCACTTGGACTTGACTGTTACAACAATGCATGTTGTGTGTTTTCTGGTCATAATGGTCAAATTCCTTTTTCTGACACAAATTGCTCGTCTTGGTGTGTTTAACCCAAATGTTAAACGTTGGCATAAGCAGGTAAACACTTCTCTTAGGTGGCTTCATTTTTCTGACGCTGTAGCTGCTTTGAATATCAGTGTAATTAATTTGTTAACAACTTTGTCTTCCTAACCTGGCTCAGCTGCTTTGAATGAAGAGCTGGTGGATGGCAGCAGTGTTGGCTGTGCAGAACTTGTCAGGAGCAGTGGAGCGAGGGGAAAGTGATTTGATTAGGGAGGAGCCGCCCATCTGATTTAACAGAGGATGAATCCTTAACTGGGGAGTGTCTCTGGGGTGATGAATTTGCTTTTTTGATTTCAGGAGTTAAATTGCTTGGTTTTATTTCATTAAAGCAGAACACTGGGTTCTGCTCTGTTACTTGACAGTGATTTTGGCCATATCTGAATGTCTGAAGGACGTGATAATAAGCCATTCATGCAAGGGAAAGTTCACCAGCCCAGGAAAACACTTGAGAAACTACAGCTCCAAATTGCCATCCAGCCCTGCTCTGATTTTCTGCTGCAATGATAAGCAGCAAAATAAGGTTTGCTCTTAGATCAGGTGCAACTTCTGGTGCAAGGCAGACCTCTGATCTCCTCCCACTTACCTGGAGGAGGGAGCTGAGCTGGAAAAACTGTCTGGAGCCAAAGGTCCAGTGGAGCTGGAGAAGTGCATGACAAGCAAGTGACTTTACTGTGTTACTCATATAAGTGGTACAAGAGGAAGAGTCAGCTGTGCTTTTCCTGGAGAACACTGATTTCAGCTCGAATTTGGAAGAAACAAAAAGCAGTAACAAAACCAGAAAGCCCTCTTAGGGCAGAGTTTGGAGTTCGGTAGCAATTTGCTTCAGTTGTTCCTGAAATGGGTGGAAAGATTCCTGCTGGTCTCAAAGGGAGCTTTTCCTAGACCAGGATGTCAAATGTCCTTTTCCTTCAGTGTGATTTGAAAGTGGAGGGTTTGTCTCTGAGACAGGCACTGGGGAGGGAGCAGTGGGGAGTGGGGCTTCCATCCCTTTCAGAGGATGAGAAAATGCTTTGTGTCTGTCTCTTTATTTTTCCTCTGAAATGCCTGAAGAGGCCACAGGAGAAGGAAGTTCTGTTTGTTGAACCCCCTTAGGGGAACAAGCTGAAATATCTGTATAAAGCAGCAGCGAAGAGGCATTTCTTAAAAACCTTTGGCTGAAATGTAGAACAGAATGATTTAAGGTAGTTCCTGGGGAGAGGAGCAGTTCTTAAAAGCAAAAGGTTCATTTCAAAGACATTTGTTGTGTACAGGATTGGGGGTGTTATTGCTGGAGACACCAGGCAGCCTGCTCCTGGAAGGAGCACTTCTCCAGCAGTGGAAAAGATGTCCCAGTTACTCCTCAAGGGTTTTGGGGAGCCTCAAGCACATATTTGAGGTTGATCACTTGTTTAACCCTGAGCTCACGAGTGAAGATTCCCATTAAACTCCAAACCTCTTGGTATAAAGCTCCCTAGTTTTTTTTTGGTCCAGGTGTAAATTTTCCTGGATTTCAGCATCGTCCAAATAGAAGTTTTCCAAAAGGCCCTTCTCACCTGAGCCCTTCTGGTGGAAGTGGTGCCTCAAAGCCACGTGGGCAAGGATGTTCACACTCAAGCTGTGCTCACTTTTCAAAGGCATGTTCATGAAGGGGTTTGCTTTGCAGTGGAAGGGTCTGTCATCTCCTTTCATGAGAGAATAATCCCTCCTCCTTCTTAAAGTCTTAACAAAAATTTCTACCAGATTTGATGTTGAGCAGCATCACTCCTGAGCAGCAAAGGATTCTTCCATTAAATGGGAACAGGCTGTACTCATATTTGCTGTGTTTACTGGATGGGAGAATTAAAATTGTGCAGTGGATAACCCAGCATCTCTCTGGGTTCTCTGCACCACCGGGCAGGGGAGACGTGCAATAAATCACTGTGTGTGTGCCTGTGTTGCTCTGTAATTCCTCTTATTCCTCAAATTCTCCAGGCTGGTGTATAAAGCTGTGAAAACTGAGGTGAGTGCCCTGCTGTTTTACTTTTTAATTTCTTTTTTTGTTGTTGTTGATTGAGTTCAGAGAGCAAAAAGTCTCATAAGTTGCTTTCTGCTGGCTTCTGAAATATTATCTACAGAGCCGGTGGTTTCAGTACTTTAAGCAGCACTTAAATTCTTCCCTAAATAAGTTAATTTTACATTACAGCAAGGGCTTAATGTACCCTTGACTTGCTTGAAGCCTAGCAGATCTGAACTGAATTGTTTTCCTCTATTAAATTTTAGACTCTCAATATCCCCCTCTCGCACACCGTTGGCAGCGTCTCCAGGTTGGGAGCCCTTGCTGTGTTGGCTGCAGAGCAGTTGGGTTTTAGCTTTTCCACAGGCACAAGGGCCTCCTTGCATCATCCCTGCATTTTTGTCTCTTTTGGTGTCCAAATTAAAACATAATAATTTTTATACCTGAGCTCAGAACCAGTGATCTTCCTTCCTACTGTGACCTGGCTTTTTATTCTTGTGCAAAAAACAGGCAAAATATTTCAAAACAGTGAAATCACTCTTTGTACCTCTTTTGATGTATCTTTTTCCTATGCACATTTAAAAGCCTGTCCTGCTTCCAAGGGTGAGATAATTCTTGATAAACCTGACCTGGTGAGTTGTTCTTGGGACTGGGAGAGCTGTGGTTTGGTGTGGTGAAGCTGCAGCCTCCTGTCCTTCAGCAGAGAGGAACTGGAGTTGAGCACTGGAATGAGTTTCATGAAGCACAAACCATTTATGGAGGGGACAGCTGTAACCACCTGTAGGGATTTCTTGCTTCCTGCAGAAGTTTTGAGCCAGGGACCCTGTCCTGGGTGTTTTCTCAGACTCATCACCTCAAAGGTGCATGGGCTGTTTCAGTCTCTGGGAGGTGAAGCCTGTTGGGCACAAAGGGGCAGGATCATCTGTGTTACACACCAGGGAGATCTTATTAAAGGATCTCTTCATTCTTCCTCTTCTGAGAGGCCTGCATATTTTGGTGTCAGCAGCTATCCTGTCCTGGAACGCTGGCATCCTTTTCTTGTGTGTTCAGGGGACCTGCCTTTCTGTGCACCTCCCCCTCGCTCCAGAAACAATGCACACGTTAAGTCTCTGTTTCATAAAAGCCTGGAATAGGAGATCTGAATGCATTTGTCAGAAAGATCAAGCTCTTATTAGCCAAAGGTCAGGCCATTTATCACCTTAATAACGTTCGTTACTGTGGTTCCATATGCCGTGAGATTCCGAGAGACCATTGCCTTCTGACCCTTTCATAAGACAAGAGAATTGCTCTTGTTATTAAAACTTATTTTTATATCAGTGTGCATAGCTTACTTGTCTGCTGTAAATAACTCTGCTCCTCATTTTGTCCATTTCTCTGAGTATTTGTGACCTTCTTCCAAAGTGTGCTTTAAAAATATTCTTCTGGACTCAGTGATTACCTTTTGAGGATGGGATTTATTTTAGGATGTGGTGTCACTCTTCTCAGTTAATGAAGTTAATGCTTTGTTGTTCATCAGTTTGAGGGTCTGTGAGTGGGGAAAGCCTCTGGCCCCTGTTTGAGGCAATCCATGGAAGATAACCCATCTGTTCCTGCCTGCTGGACTCAGGCAGGATCCTGGGAGTTGAGGGCTCCTCTCATCTGTTAACATGAGTTTTCTTGTACAGTCCTCCAGGGCTTTGCATTTATTGCCTTCCCTGAAAAATCCGAGTGCATTCCAAGCATCTGCAGTGTACTGTACTCACCTGTCCTCACTGCTGATGGAGAATCCTGATTTCCATCGCTTTCCTCCTTTCCAAAAGATCATGGTTTGTCCATCATCTCGCTCTCACACCCCTGCACTGTCCTGTTTTCTCCTTCATTTCCTTGCAGCTCTCTGGAAGCACCTTTGAGAACAGACTTTAAAAACCTGCTTGGTGGTGGTAACCCCAGAGGCCCTGTCCTGACACCCAGGTGCAGCAGTCGTGTCCCTTAAACCCTCAGCTCCGCTTGGCAGCCACGGGCAGACTCAGCAGATGGTGAAGGATTGATTGAGTGGGGGAGAGCAAACTAACCCTTCGTCTCTGGACACTGAGGAAGTGGGTGGCTGA